CACAGTTAAACATTCAATAACCAAAATATTTAAATACTTTATATTTAATATAACAATTATAAATAAAACACTAAATGAATTTGAGAATTGTATTAAAAATAAGTCATTTTAACTTAAAATTTTGGAAATTTACATCGCGTATATCGTACAATTTGTACGTGACCCTAAAGTGATGGCCGAGCGATCAAGGTGGCAGTATATCGCTGTGGGGATCCGGGTTCGAATCTGGACGGGTTACCGTCCAGATTCGAACCCTGGAATAAATCCCCAGGAATTTTCTGGGGCGGGTCCGTCCGGATATGTCGGGCCCCGTCCTTTACCATTCGGCCGCCCCATTGTGGGCCTGGCCGAACCCATAAAGGGCTTGTTAAAAGAAGCTCTCTTAGTGCTCACAGGGCGGAAAGAGTAATAAAAAAGACTCTGAAGAGGACCAACACAAGCATGAAGAAGAAGATAATACGGTATAAACCTCGATATACCGCCAATCAATTTTGGTAAACGGATCTTCCTCATAGCTATTTAACAGTAGTTGCCTTTGTTATCTCCGAATTACCAAATGTGGGATTTTGAGACTTTCACACTTTCAAATCTCAACCTTGCTCATACATCTCATTAATATAAACAATTTTCAGTGTTTCTTCGATTTAGTGCCAATGTCGAGGCAAACGAATGGTGTTCTATATCTTAGATAATCTTTATGTATCCTTAAAAAACTGTAAATTAATTTATCTTTCTATTGAAGTGATATTTTTTAATTTATAACAATAAATTTTATTACCTTGTAAAGTATGTTCACTGAGGAGATTAGCCCCATTAAAAGTTAGGCCTATATTGCTATAACTTTGCAATCATTGTATAAAAAATGATAGATTTTTAAAAGTAAAGCAATTAAATACTATAATACAACTAGACTGTTTAATTCTTTCTTTACCGGAAGTTTGCACGTGGGTTACTAAACTTTCGGAAAAATTTGATTATATTTGTGTCTTTTTTCTATAAATGCATTTCGAGTTGATATTCCACAAAACGCGCGTATCCACGACCAGTTTTACTCGTGGGTTCTCGCCTGACCATCAAGCTGGCTGTGTGACGTTTTCAGAGTTTTCTTCATATGTCTAACACCTAAATAGAGGTCAGTTTCCCCATAGAAAGTTTTCCCTAGAGATATTCCCTATTGCAGATCGCCCGCGTGTTTTGTTGCCGTATCCGAACAAACCAAATCGATCTTCGACAAAAACCTCTTCACTAAAGGGGATTTAATCGAAGATTTTATGCAGCCAGCTGTTGGTCAGACGCGAACCTGCGACCTGTTTTTAGTCGTGGGTACGCGCCACTGCTGGGTATTTTGTCGAAAAATATCAACTCGAAATCCATTTCTAGAATGGATACAAATATAAACAAATTTTTTCCGAAAGTTTAATAATCCAGGTGCAAACTTTTGGTGAAGAAAGGATAAAACAATTCGGTTCTATTACAGTATTTAAACATATTCCGGAAGATACTTCAGAACAACAATAAAGTAATTAATTTTTCTATTTAATCAGATAAAATAATTTCAAACTAAATTCAAATATTTATTTACAAGATTACAAATCTGATAAAATAAAAATGTCCAAATTATTTATATTTATATATTTAATTAAATTCTAACTTTAAATTATATAATAGTTGCAATTAGAAATTCTTAATCGTTAAAATATCAAGAAGTTTTCTTAAAATAAATGTTTTTAATATTATTAATATGATATTTAAATTGATTTCTATAATTAAAACGATCTAAAATATGTATGTAATTTAAAATTGAAAAATTTGAGATTGCTTAATCTTTTAAACAACAATAAATTAAGTTTGGTTTGATGGGATACGGCAGTGCGATTCTATGGAGATTTACAATGAAGGGGTGCCTCCCAGGAGGACTTTCTACGGGAAACTGGTCCTATTTAGGTATTATACACATGAAGAAAACCCGGAAAACTTATGTAATCAGCCCGTTGGTCAGGATCGGACCCACGACCATTGTTCGGTAGTGTTATCTATTCGGGCACCGGTGGGACAAACAATACATTGAAATGTAGCGTATTTTCTGAAGTTGAACTGTTTTATGGATTGTCCCGATAGTGTAACATGTTATGTAATTAGTTAAAATTTAATTATAATGTTAACAAATTTCCATTCTTTGCATCCATAACTTATTACATATAAGTATATAGCATATATAACAAAATATAATTCTGATTATTAACTAATTCGTACAAAGTAAGAATAGTATTTTACTAAAGGCCATTTTAAAATAATATTTTATCATCTTATTCAAACGAATGGAATGAGATGAATGTAGTAATGAATACATACAAGACACATATTATTTCACGAGTTTCAGACCTAATGCATACTTTTTAGTATGAGAATAATTGTAATTTTGTTATATATTAACTTCATAGGCTACGTTTTAATAGAATGACTTGATTATTTTCATATGTCGGGCCCCTTCCTTCATTACCCGGCTATACTACTGTAAGCCTGGCCGAACCCACGATGGGGTTGACGTATGCCCTCTTAGTTCTCACAGGGCAGAGAGTAAAAAATAAAAAGAACTAATGATATTTATCAATTCCCGAATGAAGTTACTCTCATAATAATATTAACAAAATTGTTTTATATCAATTTAAAAAAAAAATAAATATATTAAACAGAAATATTTCCCATTCCTGTTGTATAATAAATTCCCTCTTTTTTAAGCCAAATATTTCGCTATTTCGGCATCGTGTGTGCTGCTATAATTCGGCTTATAAATATTTCATTTGACTCTAATAATAAATAACAAAGTTATAGTGAAAGTCTTCTTAATCTCACTTACTCTTCTATTCCTCTTTCGTTTAAACTTTATTAATTCAATATTCTAAAATTCAGTAATAGAATTCTGTTAAATATACAATAAACTTGTTTAAGGTTTATAAATAATTTAAAGAAAAGATTTACTATTTTCAGATGGTGCATTGACGTTGCAAGAATGTTTTAAATTAAATATAAATAATTTAAAATAAAATCAAAACTAAGATCTATAAGAATATTATTATAAAAATACGTATAAAATAATTTGTATAAATTTTAATCATGTGTTAATTAATTAAAATTGATTTGATACTAGCGATTTTCTTATTGTTCATATTCAACTTAGGGAAATTTGTTCAATGAACACGTAAATTGAAATAGATGACGGATGATGATATTTAAATTAATATTTGATATTTGTATGATCGATGCTTTCGTTGGATCGAATCCGAATATTTGATAGATGTTCTCAATTAAATTACCATAGATCATTTAGAAGCGAATAGGTTTGTCTCGATTTGCTAAGAGGGAATGCCTTCCAGGAGGACTTTCTACGTAACCAACTCCTATTTAGGTGTTAGGTGAAGAAAACTTACAGTACCTGTACAGATTAATCAGATAGCAAATAGATTTCATTGTATTCATTTCTTTTGGAGAGATTAGTTTAAACACGGATTTTTCAATTGGATATCCCACGAGAACGATTTTGAAAATTTGATGTCACTTCCAATAGTCTTTATTTATGATGTCGAATTACCAGTCAAATACGATTTAAAACGCTTCAGATTTAGACATAGATAAAAATTATTGCATGTGAATTATATTTGAAGCATTAATTTACGTTTGAATTACAATACTAACTTGATTAGAACAATGGCGTCACCAGCAAGCAACCCTTCTTTAGTTTAGTTCTACGCTTTATACACAAGGTGAGTCAAAGGTCCCTTGCACCCTTTTCATTCTAAAAGTACTGAAGATATAGTAATTTTTTTAATGTAATAATGTTCTGTATGATTCTCCATACATAAGAAATCATGTATGGAGAATCGTACAGAACCCTTTTTTGTTGACCTTGAAATTTTTTTTTCAAGATCCCATCCAATTCTCCATACATGACTTGTAACTAAATTAGGTAACTACATTAACAAAATCAATATACTGTATCTTCAGTACCTTTGGAATGAAAAAGGTGCAAGGGACTTTGAACTCAACCTGTATAGTGATCCCTTAAGGAGGACACCATCAAAATAAAATTATACCTAAACATACAAAATTTCGTCTCTGCATATTTCGATTTAACTATTTATAACTGTTTAATATATTTCATTATTCAATTACAGAATAAATATGATAAACATGTAGGCCTGCTGAGACAAACAGCAATGGGAATGGATAAAAGCTATTATATAATTTAGTATAAAAGAAAATTTTGAACGAACTGGATATAATGTTATTCGTCCCTCGCTACACTTTATCTAAATACCATCAAAACTGTGGATTAGCCTATTGCACAGCCCTATAGTTATTAAGAAATTAAATCGAGTTTTCTCAATTTTAGGCTCTTATTTAACTTTTTCTCGCAGAAAAAAGAATGTAATTTCTAGCATAGACTTACAATATCATTCAGATGAATAAAATGAAATGAGTTGCAGTTCCAGAAGAGGAAAAACAGGATCATCAAACGAGTAGGCTGAAAAATCGTATAAATAATTCCTAGCTTCTATCATTGCCAGGAGCACAGAATTATTTGTATTAAATTAAAAGAAAAAATGTCTAATTTTAAATTATAAAATTTACAAAAGATTAATTGAATATAAAATTCATAAATAACTTAGGTCCTACATTTCTAAAATTGGGTTGCAAACAATATCATTGTATAAATCCATTCTTAATATTCTTCCTTAAGGATTAAAGAAAATTACTTTGAACAGTAGCTAAACCAGGATAAAATTCAAAAACATATTATTAGTAACATATTAAATGCCAAATAACATTATAAATATCCTAATTTTTATATAGCAATACATCTCCAATTACATCAAACATCTCAGAAATATAGCAAGATATTTTAAGATTTTGAGATTAAAGACTGACTTGAAATCTGAAAGTTTATTTCAATTTTATTTAAAATAAATTGTATTGTAGCATTACAACATTATAATGTAATAAATTTATCTGTCACTTACCAACAGGAGTGTCTTCCCTGAGTGAAAACCGACTCATGTCACCTCCAGGAAGAAACACAGGTGCTCGATTGATCTGTCCCCAACATCCTCCTTTCAATATAGAAAAAACAAAAATTGCATAAATGAAAATAAGAAAAAAATAAATGAATAAAAAACTGTGGTTGCAAACCACTTACCTAAAAAGCCCACGTAAATAACTAGAGAAAACACACCCATACTTCTTGTATCAGAATATTTCCTCGGCTCCCATCCTAAAAAAAAAGTACAGTAAATTATTTATTAATACGGCTTGGCTGCTTGATCCCAGACATAACTGAGGTTAAGGAAAATATGAAAGAATTTTCACGAAACTTGTTTGATATAATTGTTTTTAAGAGGTCTCGTTGCGGTGTTCGCACGCCACACTTATCAAGTGTTGAANATGCAATTCAAATGTTGAAATTAAATTCAAGTATGTGTTTTAAAATGCATTATGCAAAATCTAAATTACATGATTTTATTTTTAATATTTTTTTTTTGCTTACTTTACAAACATTTAAATTAAATTTATATGTTTAGAAATATATAGTAATAATAATAATAATAATAATAACAACAATAAATTAAAGTGGAAATTATTACAGTTCATAAAAAACATCGTTAATAATTATTTACACAGACACAACGATCCTTGAAATATATACAGCCAAACCTCTGAACAGCGATCATTGACAGGAACGTGAAAAATGGCCGTTGTTCGGAAGTTATTTCGTAATTATACGTAATTAAATTTAATTTGTAATATGCCTACTTCAATTTTGAAGAAAATACAATCTAATTTCAATAACGGCCACCTCTAAACATAAGAATCATAAGTATTTTTAATGCATACAAAATAACCTCCGGCCATTTTTATGTTCACGTCACTGGCCGTTGTTCAAAGGTTTAACTGTATAATTCGCCTAAAAATGAAAATGTCTGAAAGTAGTGAGCAAAATATAAAGAATTAATGACGTTTTAAATCATAGACTTTCCCAATTTTTTTTCCTTTGTTCACCTCTCTCTACACTAGAAAATAACAATAAACTACAAATAGAATGAATAAAAATAATACTTTGTATTTTACTTTAATAAAATTTAAGTAAGTTATTTATTTAATTGGTTTTGCTATAGTTCGATAGCTGCTTGCTAGTTTTAGTTATTTATAATGATATTTTAATGGTTATAGATTATTAAAATTACAACTAAACAACTTAATTTGTTAAGGAATTAAGGGAAAGTTTTTGTTTAATTATACGATTTGCTTTCTTTAATTTAAAACAATTAAAATTTATATTATTGAAAGATTAATTAATCTCGAGTAACCACTAAATTAAAGCAATTTTATTAATTATTATGAGTTTTTCACGTTTAATTTTTACGAATTATTGAGTTAATACTTTTGAGTAAGTAATGTGTAATGAATTGTTTAATATTAACATTAAATACTTCTATTAAAAAAGTAATAAATGTATTTAATAAATTCTTATTAAAAATGTTTCTTCTTTCCTGACAATTACAGCTTCTGTTTAAAAAATAGATCCTATTCTGTATTATTCAATATTATTTATTATTCTATAGTTTGATTCATAATTTATATTATCACAGAGCTTTAAATTATAACCTATTTCATATTTATAAGTATTAAATCATATATATTCATTTATACGCGATGATTATTTCACTTAAAACTCAATGGATTCGACAGTAAGATGAAGATATCCAGATGTTTTTATTCTTTCAAGGACCTCAGTAATCTTTATTCTAGCCAACAGTCATCCCATCCTGTTCAGCAAGTTTCCAATCGAACTATAAATTTTCCATGCTAAATTTATTGAGTTTTCTTTTACTTTTCTCGAATTTGTTAAGATTTTAAATACACTTTATAATAACAAATTTACTATTTTATTTATGGTTTTAAGTTTTATTTTTCAAATTAATTTTCAAAAGGAAGTTATAAAGAAGAATGAAAATAATGAGAAAGAAGTCCTTGCCTTTTTCAGTAAAACTGGATGTATTAAACAAATAATCTTTCTTATTTTATTTAGCATTCAGCTAACGACTCATCCATGAATAATTTTTTGATGTTTGACTTGTCTTTTCTTGTCTTTCTCAAGATCCATCATAAAGAAATTAAAACATTCTTGTCAGTTTTATATATAATAATACATTTAAACGATTAAAACTACAGCAAATTCATTTTCGTGAATATTAATTACCGTTTAAATTGGTAAATAATCATAAAAATGTTTGCTTTAATCTTTAATAATCCTGAGGAGAGAAATATAATCCTATAGAGAAGGACAAATTTTTTTTTTGAAGCTCTGCTACAAACCAGATTAGCAAGTAGTTTTAAAATAATTATAGATATAATTATAGGATTGCAGACATCAATTTAAAATAAAAATAATTAATTGGTTTCTATTGCTGAAGCTTTATTTTATGTGTAGAAAAATATTTGATGCAATTCAAATGTTGAAATTAAATTCAAGTATGTGTTTTAAAATGCATTATGCAAAATCTAAATTACATGATTTTATTTTTAATATTAAAGATTAAAAATAAATTATTATTTAGAATTAAGTAGAAATATATGAACAGTTTTTCTTATTATTTCTATAATAAAAAAAGAAATAGACTAAACAGGTAAGAAGAATCTATAACACGGTTTTAGAGATTTAAAATAAATGGTTTATCTGTATAGCTATTAAAACAAAATTCATTACCTAGATAAAATATGAGTCTATCTTGCTACAGAATAAATAGGATTGATATTTCATTATATATAAATGTAACCTACTATAGTTATGTCACAGTATGGTGAGGTAAATACTAAAAAATTTCGAGTACAGTATCTTCCTGCTTTAGAATGTGATGTAAAGTAAGAGTAAATCATTTGAGAGGTTGCTAATGAAGAACTGAAATATATCCAAACAAGGTATAAGAGGCCTTGTATATGATGTAGAAGGAAGAAGATGATGGTTATTTAGGCGTGACGTATTCGTGATATCCGTAACCACAACTAGTCACGCGCGACGAATCATATCGTGCTATTGCTGTCCCTCCATTCCATTTGTCACGAATAGCAAAGAACCACTTTGCGTCAAACCGACCAATAGTTTTTCTTGTACTAATTCAAAATATATTTCAAATATTGTTTATGATAAGTTTAGTAAGCACTGATCAGACATAATATAGGCCTACTACATAAACGTACTGAAGTTCTCACATAAAACATTGTTTGACTGAATTGTGTGTAAATCATTTGATATACAATTTATATCATTTATTTGCAATTTTATATTTACATTATTAACCCAAAATATGTAAGTTTCTTTTTATGGTAATTTAAAAGGCATTTACGCGGTTTTATAGATATTTAAAATAGTCTAAACTAAATAGATCTATATGAAATATGCTTACATTTTTTTTCCAGTTTAAATTAATATTTTTAAAGAAAATTTATAAAGTTTAAGACAAATGTGCTGTTTCTAGTATTTGTAGAAGACTTATCAAACCTGAAATTATCAGATGTGATTTGAATATAATCCTATAAAGATAAGATCCGAAGATGTCAAATTTGCTCAGGAAGATCTCAATTCATTTTTTGAAAAGCATAAAATATATTAGAAGGATCTGCTTGTAATAATTATTAATCTTAAGGTATTATTAAAACAACTCGATTACATTATGAAAGACAATGAAGGACATTATTTATCTCTTAGTTAGCCACATTATCTACTTCAGCATAGCCCATTCATAAAACAAGACTAATGGATCAATTAATCATTGTACCCAACATGTTTTCGGATAATGTTACAATTAATTCTCTTGTAAATAACTGTCAAGATAAATCAAGATATAACTATCTTATTTGCTGTTTAAGGAACATCAAATGTTCATAAATCAGGATTATGATATTCTCGGGTGAATCTCTCAGACTAGTTATATCCTATGTCCATTATGTTCATCATATAATATATTTTAATTACTTTGATTTTAATTATAGAAAATAATTTTCTCTTTCAAAAAAATCTTCAAATTATATATTTTAAATCGTTATTATACAAATGCCGTGTAATTCATTATTCAAATATTAAAAAAACGCTTTTATTAATCATGTTTTCCGATATTGGAGAGTGCGGATGCGGATGGTGAGAGTGGGACATCACTAAAATGCATTAACGCATACAGTACAGGTACATGATTAAATTCTACATTTGCATATTAAAATGCATTGTTATCTGACTTAGATATGTCCTCAAGGTTTCAGCCATTTATATTAATTAGAAGCGGATTAAATTTGAGTCAAAAGATTTGAAGATATGATAAGAAGCAAATTTAAATAATAATAAAAATAATCCATTATGCATATTCATGTTAAAAATAATAAAAATGTAAACAATATACAAGAAAATTTTATGTCAATGGTCACTTTCGCTTTCGGCTTGAAAATCAACTTCAACTATTACAACATAAAGAATCTTCTTTAGACTATAAATCAAAAGCTCGAGATTATAATCATGTTTACGTGAAAAAAAATTAAAATACAGTAACTAATGATGATATTCTCTATTAAAATAAAAATAAAAAGCCAACAGAGATAGGAAATTTTGTAAATCATTGCATTGTAAAAAGTGAGAAAATTGTTATAGGCTCATTATTAAAATATCTAATGAATAATATCTTATATATTAATATAACAAGTTTAGAGTCATTCGAGATTGATGATATGTTAGCTACTAGATAAGAAAACACCCTTAAACTACATCAAGTTTTTCTTTTTTTTATTATTATTTTTAAATTATTGATTTTTGAATATCCATACTTGTTAAATATCTCTCGTTATATCTGTACTTTGAAAAAATGATTAATTGTTATGGGTTTATAAATGATAAGTTCTTATACAAAAGCAAATTTAAAAAATATATCATGAATATAATTATCATGATAAAAAAATTTAATTATACAAATAAAATTGAATAACGTATGATGCCTTAATGATCCATTCATACACTTATTTTTATCTTTTAGTTTCTTTTCTGATTTTATTTTTCTTCGTTTTAATATCACAAATTAAAATATATTAAAAATAAAAAATCTAATAATTAAAATTTGTGAATAAAATGAAGAAATAAATGATTTATTTTTCTTTATTAAATGTTTAAAATATTTTTAAGGCTCATTATAAATCGGGTTCGAACTCACGATGAGCCTGAAGTAAAGTGCAGGGTATGAAGAAGTCTACAGATACTTTAGAAATATGTAAATATATATTTTAATTAATAAAATAATTATGTAAATTTTAATTAATTACACATAAAATGATTAATTTTTTACTAATAGTTTCGTTATAAGTTTCTTATTTAC